ACACACACACACACACACACACACGATATATATGCATTTGAAAATAAAAGGAAAGCTCAGCTATACTAGGTGTAAAATCTCAGTGGTCAGAAGACCTTTGTGGAAGCAGATGGGGAGTGAATAAATACATGAATAAATTGTTGCTATGAAGTATTGTGAAGTTTGACCCTGAATTCCCTGGCAATATTTTATAGGAAGTTTTGCAAATAAACCTAGGGGAGTGAGGCAAGTGCACAAAGTGAAAATGATCTCTCATTATGTGGAATGGTTTGACTTATTAGCAGTTTGCTTTCCAGAAGGGCAGGCACTCTGCATTCCTGACTCCACCTTGAAAACGGCTATAAATCTAGAAGAGAAAAATGCGTCTTCTCAGAGGAAGTGCCTGTCACAAGAACTCACCAACATTTCTCGGTAGTGGAGGCCTAAGGCTGTCCTCTGGATTTGCTTCCAGAAGACTGGAGGAAAACATGGCAGCAGATCACAAGGCTGATAATAGCCAACCTGCACTATGAACCTGCTTGGTTCTGGGGAGGAGGAGGGGGTGAGGACAGAGCCAGGAACACATGAAAGTCCAATTTGTAGGGAAATTGAGTGACAGGAGCAGAGCTACGGATCTCAGACACTGTTCAGATACAGGAATTCTCATGACATTCTGTATGAAGAAATGACTAGTTTATGGGATGAGCGTGGTGGTTCACATCTGTAATCCAAGTTATTCACGAGGCACAGATTGGCAGGATTGCCATTTGAGGCCAGCCCAGGCAAACAGTTAATAAGACCGCATTTCAACAAGTAAGTCAGGTGTGGTGGTATGCCTGTAAATCCAGCTATGCAGGAGGCATAGGAGGAGGATTGAAGTCTGAGGCCAGCCCCGGGCAAAAAAATGGGAGAACCTCCTAAAAAAATAACACAAAAAGATGTGGTGCAAGTGGATAAGTGCCTGCCTATCAATTATGAGGCTTGCAAGTTAGGAAATACTCAACTCATTTTCTAAATATTTAAAAAAGACTGGCTTGCAAGTTAGGAAATACTCAACTCATTTTCTAAATATTTAAGAATGTGCACTTTATAGTATTTTTGAATTATCATATGCATCTTGTTTAAAACTAAAGCTGTATGTGCCATAAGGATTTTCATGAACAATGCTGTATGTATCATACAGCAAAGCAATATGCATAATTGGCTTTATTTGAAAAAAATTCTAAAGTAATATCAGTAGCAAACAAGAAAGTGAAGTGCCAGTCTGCAGAGTTTTAAAGTTCAACAATTTCTTCTGCTCAAAGAGATAGACAAAGGCAAAACGGGTTTCTTAACTACATTTGCAGTCTGCATCTCACTGTAAATTTCTACTTGTGAGCATTGATTTTCCTTGCCCTGAAAATTCCTTGTTGCTGTTTGGTGATTAAAAGTAAAAATTCCTGGGTGGTTACCAATTGATGGTGCCTCTTTTATATACTTATTCATGAATAGATAATCAGAGAAAAAGGAGTGATGTTCAAATTTTTCAACGTTTTCAAGACCAGATGAAATTTCTCATAAATAGGTTGGTATTATACCAATTTTCCAAATGTGGTAGTGAAAAATCACTTTACATTTCCACCACTTGAAAAACCACTTATTAAGTCATGTTGAGTATTTTCTTTATCAATTCTGCAAAATCAGATCATTCCAACACTACTTTTGTGTGACAGGTGGAGGTGGAAGAGGGGATGTCACTCACTGTACTGTAACTGTATATTTCATTGTGGCTGACTCCACAATAACTGGTCTTGGGGCTTTTGTTTCTCCTCTCACGTACTTCCCCAACTGTGTTCATAGGAAGTGTGACTTTCTAAATGGCTCCACCAAAAGCAATTCTGGTCTGTGCTCGAGAACATTCAGGAAACGTTACGTTGGGAATGTGCCGAACGGTATATTTACTTTTGGAAAATTGTATTGTACTCTAACACAATAAGGGATGTGAGATACTCCACAGGTTAATTACATTTCTTGAACTCATCAACCACCATAAAGCATCTTAATGTGTGCAATGACAGTGGGTATTCTGAGGAACCTGTTCTCTGGAATGTAATTCAGGAAATGATGTATTAGCATATTCATTAATGGGTTGAAATTATTTATAAGTTGCATTTTCAGGATGCAAAGAGCAAAAAATTCCAGTTAGGTGTTATTTGTATCTATTTACCTCTGTCAATTACACAGTCATATTTGTATGAATTACTATGGCTTTATAATAAGTCTTTATGTTGAATAGTATACATCTTCTATTTTTGTTCTTCTTAAAGATCATTTGATTATTTTGGGCTCTTTGCATTTAATATAAATTTTTAAATCAACTTGTGATTTCTCTAAATTCCATTTTTGTGTTGTTTTGAATTTAAATTTGGGGTATATTAAGTTTATAGATAAAATTGAGAATTTCTTTACAACATTGAGCCTTCCAACTCCTGAAAATGCCATGCTAAGGTAATATGAGGTTTTAAATTAGATATCATTACATTTCTTTCAGTAATGTGTTACAGATTTAATCATGGAGAGCTTGAATATCTTGCCTTAGATTCACTTGGGGACTGTGATATTTTTTGATGTTATTGTAAAATTATGTTCTTAATTTTTCTTTCTTTTTTGATTTCTTTGTATATAAGAACTTTGGTAAGTCATTTAATATGTTTCATAGTTTGCCTGTAGATTCACTTGGATTTTCTACAGATATAATCACATTGTTTACAAATGACAGTTTATTTCCATTTCTTCTACATCAGGAAAAAAGTTTGCAATAAATGTGAAGTAGTTTTGGAAGAGTTTTAAAAATAGGTACTAATTTATATTTAATATGTTTTAATAAATAAAGAGAACAAAGGCAAATATCCTTACTACTCTCCAAATTTTATGTTATTAAATTCATCAGTAAAAAATTTCACTTACATTTATCTTCAATTGAAATTTCAAAATGAAAAGACATAGTTCATCCATTAAAAAAATTGGTCACATACCTCAGGTGTTCTGAAATAATAGTGGTTTCTTTCTCTACAAGGTGATAAGAACAAATAAATCTTGTGCACAACCTGAATAATTTCTTTCACACTAGTATATCTCAAGAGACAATTTTATTGCCCCAAGTGGTGAATGTTCAGTATTAAGACAAAATGTTACCAAGAAGAGAAAATGCTTCAACTCATTTTATGTTGAAATCTGCTAAAAACAAATCAAGACAGCAGTCAATTTCTGAATGTCATAAATATTGTTTCTTTGGACAAAAGTAGTTCTCTAAGAAAGAAAAAATGTCATGTGAGAATTAGAATTTTTAATGAGGTATCTCATTTAAGGAGCTGAAAACATACTTTAACTTAAATTTTCTTTTACATTAAAATTTTTTGGCTTAATTTAAACTTGAAGATGAAAGATTTATCCAATGCTATGTAAATTTGTTTATAACCTTACAGTAAAAAATTCTCAATTTTACAAAAAGGGTTCATCTTGCTCCATTTTGAATATAATAAAAGACAAAGGAATGGAAGTAAGTTTGGGCAAAATGCCAAAATACAAAGAGCTGTATAATTTAAAATTCTGTGATAATTTAGTGAAGGATTGCTCCCTAAATGAGGTTTAAATTTATAGTTCCACTAATGTAAGTAAATTAATTACTTATAAGAACAAATATGCTAGTAAACACAAAAGCTTAGGATTACAGTGTTAATTCCTGATGGCATTATGTGACAAAGTTTGGATTTTCTTGGGGGTCACCTTCAGACCTTAGTGCAGTGTCCATTATGTAAAATGGCTTAAAAAAACCAAACTAACAACAAAGACTTTCAAATCAATGCACATTTCTGAACACTGCTCTAAACAAGACAGGTGCTAAGGCTCTGGTAGGAACTTGATAAAGTCCTAGCCCTCAAAGTGATTATTATGCTTTGATTGTTTTTAAGCGAATTTATGAAATGATAATGATAAGTCTTAGTAGTTTGGAAATATTGTAAGCATACAAAGAACAGACATCCCAATTTCTCACAGAGTCTGTAATTATTCATCAGAATGTCTTAACAATGGAACAATTGTAAGGCATTTATGCAGTAACATGTTTTATTCTTCATAATACTTATTTTTCCTTTTAAATATGTTTAACTAAAGTAAACGGTATCAGATACTCAGTAGTCTCTAACATAGGTGAAAAAAGATGTATGCTGCTATTTTGATGTTACATAGGTATATTTTTAGCACGGCTTGAATATTGTTTCTGATCTATACAATATTCCAATAAGGTAACTCCATATAATAAAATGAGTAAGATTGAACTTCATTCAAGTAAGTGATAAACCTCTGAAGCCCCAAGTCTTTGTATCATAATTGAAGACAATGGATTTTTTGCATTAAATGTTTTTTACTAGCATCTGTGACTTGTACAGGGGATTTCATTGTGACATTTACATATGTGCTTACAATATATCTTAAAAAATTTTTATTAGGGTATATTCATTGTAACAGAGGGGATTCCTGGTGACAATTCCAAATAGGCTTATATTATACATTGGTTAGATCGTCCCCAATGTGTCTCCCCCTCGAGCCCCTCCCAATCCCACTTATTGCAATTGCAAGAAGTTTCTTTGTTCTATTTCATATAGTTATAGGAAGTCCATGAACCATATTCCCTCACCTTAATCTCCTACATTCAACTGCCCCTCCCACAAATTCCCCACACTGTACCTATTTTACACTCCTATCTTTCCTTATTAACATTTAAGTCAATGTTCAGAGGGGTTTCTCAATGTAGTACTCTCCCTCACCCCTTTACCTCCCACCCCACCATTTTCAACAACTCTCAGAATACATCTATTATATCTTCATTAGATTCATCTCCTCCATCGTTCTCCCTTATCCCCTTCTCCCATCTTAGAATAATTTCAAAAAGTTTCATTATTCTACATGTATACAAAATACATCCACAATATTTGCCCTCCTTCACTCTTTCCTTATGCCCTCCCCTTTCCCACTGGCACCCACCCCAGACAGGACATGTCTTGCTTTCCTGTCCTTCATTTTTAAAGCATATATTGATTATTCAAGGAGGTTTCACCTTGGCATTTCACACATGTGTAGATTGTGCTTGAATCAGATAATCTCCCTCTATTACTTTCTCTTTCTCTTTTGCCCTGCTGCCCTATTGTTCAATAACCTTCAGTTCATTTTGTTATACTATCTTCATACACAGATGCAGTGTGTGACTGTGGATTTTTAATAAGCTAATTTTGGTGATGACCAAGATGAAGGATAGATGAAAACAAACAATGAAGTTTCCTTTCCTTTGGCATTAGATTGTTTGTTTTGGAAACTTCAATTTCTTTGCTACTTGTAGTAAACCAATGACTCTTTCTACGTTCTGGAATTGATTGATACAGTTTCCTTGTGTGTTTATTCTGTCCAGGTGATAATTCTGATGGTAGAGGGTGTGAATATATTTACCCACAAATCTTAACTCTCCATGCTACTGGTTCATGTTTGTTTGTTACAGGCACCATTGTGGGGAACGGAGGGCATTTCAGCATCATTAAACATCTAGCTGCTGAGCCAGATGCCTGTAATCCTAGCTACTTGAGAAGCTGAGATTGGGAGGATTGCATGTAGTTGAAGACCAGCTCCAGGAAAAAGTTTCAAGACCCCATCTCAACCAATGGCTGGGCATAGTGGTGCACGCTGTCATTTTAGTGAGGACAGGAAGTGAAAATAAGAGAATCATGGTCCAGGTCGGACTGGCCAAAATGCAAAATTCTATCTCCAAAATAGCCAGGCAAAAAGAGCTGGAGGTGTTGCTCAAGTGCTATAGTGCCTGCCTAGCAAGTGCTAATCCCTGAGTTCAAACTCCAGAGCCACTGAGAAGAGGAAGAAGAAGAAGAAGAAGAAGAAGAAGAAGAAGAAGAAGAAGAAGCAGCTTATTTAGTAGTTAGTGTTGTACTACTTAACACTGTACACTTCCACTTAGCACATCTCCCAGGATGGCTCATTTATTATTAGCATATTTTGAATCTATTATCAAATTCTACTTTTCTCCAAAGAGTGTCAGAGCTCTGCAAGTTGATAGCCAAGATACTCTTTGGAAATAATTATTTTCTAAAAACAGATGGGCAATGGTGAACAAAATTTTATAAGTTCCTTCACCAAGTATCCCTCAAATGGAAGGCAAATGGGGGGTGGAGAATTTCAGAACCAGGGTCTTCTGAATTTCTGAACTCAGGGTCACTTCTAAATTGTCAGTAATTATATTGCTAATTTTATTATTTGTTTTTACTAATTAGCTTATTCTCAGCTTTTTGGAAATAAGAACTCTCTGAGAATACAATAAAGGGATTGTATGATTGATTCCTCTTCATCAGGGGTTAGAGAATTCTCTGATTATAGTAATATTATCCAAAGCACTGAGACATCCCTCATCCCTATGAGTAATGAGAAATTGCTGGCTCTACTTCAGGTGAAGATGTGTAGTTGCATACAATTTGGTAAACCAAAGGAAAAGACTAAATAGTGGACTTTATATCCCTTTTCCATAAGAAATAATTCCACAGTGACCCTTTCTAGCCTCTTCTACATAGAGCCACCAACAAATTTTTTAAAATTCTTGAAGAATCTGAAGCATGAAACTTTTTAAAAAGTAGGAGGTGGCAGATCATGGGGATTAATGGGAAATTAGTGCACAATGGGAACTGAGGTCCTAATATAAATAATTGTAGAATAAGGTGAGATGGAAAATGTGATTGCTCAAGTAAGTAATCCAGGTCCCATTCTGACCTTTCTACAAAAGTCCAAACGAAGACCTGTGTGCCTTTAAGAGAGTGTGTGCGTGTTAATGGTGATGAGGACGCCCAAGTGCCAGCTGGAGGAGTGAGAAATTTAGTAGTCCTTGTCCAGGAGACCAGAGCTAGAAAAAGTTGTGTTTGTGCAGCTTTTGCCTAATCACTTAACCTTTGATTTTCTTATCTACAAAGTGAGAGGTTGGATTGGATTTGGAAAGAATGCTATGCTCTTTAGCATTTTATACATGCATGAAAAATGTCCTCTGGCTGTGGGCTTTACAAATCCTTTCCATGCCGAGCCCGTGCCCATTTAAACAAACATTAGCAATCTTGAAATTATTTATGTTTTATGTCATCACTGATCAAATGCAAAAGACAAGTCCTTATATTAGATGAGACCTTCCTCTTAGTATAGAAAGCTCATGGTTCAGTACCCATGGATTGAATTTCATATTTTTTCTGTGTTTTACTGAAAAACAATGAAGATTCAGGAAGTGAAACGTGGGGGAAAATTGTGAAATAGATGAAGGAAGTCACAGTAAGTGCCTTGATATTAATATGGAAATATCAAAATAACGAATTCTGTTTTCTCATAAGACTACATAAAAGAAAGTAAATGCTGCATTTTCATAGGGGAAAAATTAGAAAGCATGTGAGATCTGTGTTTTAAATGGTACCTAAAGTGGCGTCTTTAGCTCTTATTCATGCCCCTTTGCAGTTTTTACCTCCCCCTGCAACACACCTGACACAGATACCTTCGTTCCTTCGCAAGATTAATTTTAGCCCCTCTGCCTCGCTGAAGGTTGAGAAGGATACACGTGAATGGCAAACCCCTAGGCACCATTTTCATTTTCTTTCTTCCTTTAAAAAATGAGGGCTGTGACTGTGAGAACCCAGGGAGGGGAGCTGAGAGTGGAGAAGTGAAACCAATAAGGATTCAGATTTCTACTTTCTGGTTCAAATCAAGTTCTTGAAGCCACCCAGCTTTTTGAAAACCCCTGCTAATTAAAACAGTGTCTGCTGATAATGTAAGTCTGAGATGCACTGTTTGAATGGATCTTTTGATGTAGTTCTGTGTGATGGCGAATAACAGAAGGGAGATGGATGGATTGCAGGCTTTAACTGAGCTGTGCTTTCACAGTGACATTTAACACCCTGTTCGTGCAGCGAAATATTTTCTAGGTCTTCATTGTGGGAATTACAATCAGTTTTTCTTTCCCAAGTATGGCTCCCCTAAGGGGGTGATGGAAGTACAATAGAGAGTCATGGGCTTTATTTTGCTACTTGACCTTCATGAAAATAAGAGATGATTTTGAAAAAAAAATGGTTAGAGGATATTTATGGTTTAATTGTTGGTCTTTGCCATTATTGATAACCTAAACATTTTCTCAATCATCCTTTTATCAATTTTTTTCTCAGTTAATGGGCTTTTCCTTGCATGCGTAGCTTCTGAGGAGGAGGTCACCCCCAGGCTGTTCTCCAAAACATGCATGGTACCCTTGTAGACGTCAGAGACCACCTCGTGATCCGAAGTAAAAACTTGATAGCATTCATATTAGAAGAAGATGAGGAGCATGTGGGATTTCTTTCTCAAATCTGCTATAATTTCTTTGGGGATGTCATGTCACAGTATGAGGCTGAAGCAAGAAAAGATCAGCATGAATTAATAGGCTTAGCACAGAGAGCAGGTGCTCTTTTACAATGTGGGAAGCACATCTGGGAAACACAACCTTCTTCCATTCCTATTTTGTTTTTCCAGTTGAGCTCAGATTTCAGTCTGAGACTTCTGCATGTTTTGTCACAGATGTATTCATTTGGTCATTCAGCTACAGAGCCTCTGAATGCCTTTTTCCCTGTCTGGACACTGGTACTTCTTCATGGGGGCTGGGAAATCAGAGGGAGCCGCTGGTCTGGCAGAGTTCCAGAGATTCTCTGCTCAGTACCACTTCATAGTCAAGACTTTGTGGGATTTGCCTCCCTTGACTCTGACACCCTCCAGGGTTTAGAAAGGCATTTATTAAGGTATCTTCCTAGCAGTTATACACCTCTATTTCTTTTTTACCTTCCAGAAATTTGTAGCATACCTGCTCATTTTTATTCTCCTTCCCTGCCATATTTTATTCTGAGTTTATTCTTTTGCTCTCATTTTAATAGGGTCAAGAGAAGGATACAAGAGAAATATACAGATTTCATTGATCACCTTGAAGCAGAAGTCCTTTGATTTATTTTTAAAGCTTTTTCTCAATGCTTTATTTGTGTTGAACAATCTTCTCAACAGGTGATAAGTGTGTAGTATCCTTATCTTTATTTGTGAGGTGCTACGGTTTGAAATCTGTTTCCCAAATTCATACATGGAAACTCAATGGCCAATGTGATTGTAAGGGGTTGGGGCAGTTTAGAGGTGTTAAGTTTAAGTTGTGAGGTTGGAGACCTAGTGCATGGGCTGGGGCCTTAGAAAAGGATTTAAAGGAGTGGGCTTGCTTTCTTTTATTTTTCTGTGGGACACAACAATCAACCCCCTTCCCTGCCTTTTCTTTCTATCCCTTCCACTATGTGAATACATCTATGATGAAAAATACCAAAAATACCAGTGGCTTGATCTTGGATTCCAGCCTCTAGAACTGTGAAAAAACAGCTTTTTATTCTTTATGAATGACCCAATCTCAAACACTTTGTTATCAGATGATAACTAGTGTTATCATCACTAGTACAAGAGATGAAAAGTAATTATGTGAAGCCTTTGTATAAGTTGTGCTATACAGCATGAAATACGTTGATCAGATAACTAAAATCATAACATTTCTAGAGGCCTGAAAATTGCAACTTGCCTAACAGTTATACCATAGCAATGCATTTTTCATTCTAATACAGTGATTTGGGTGATTAAATGCAAGGACCCTGGGGTCAAGATTCAAGTTTAGTGTCTTACAGGGCCAACTCACATGGAATAAGCTTGCCTCACAGGGCGTCAAATGCACAAAAAATGAGGAAATATTTGGAAATCAACTGGTAAGTGTCAATAAATGATAGCCATTAGAGAAAGGAGAATCACGATGGTGTGACACACATTACTTCTGACTTGAGAAACCCAGGCCTTGTGAGTGAGGACTGACTGTTCTCTTTAGAAAGAGCCATGTGCTATTTCAAGCTATTAGATCAGGGACTAGGTTTACAGTATCACTAGGAAGGCTGCCATCTCTAAAACTTTCTTAAATCTTAATTTCATCTCTGTCCCGTAAAGAGTGACAACATTTCAAAAATAAGATTGTGATAACATGCTGCCTATTTTTAAAGACAGCATGGCCGAGTTTCATTGGGGAATGGTTATATTAGATGAATGCAAGTACTAGCTAGGTACGAATAAGTGGATACAATTGTGAGGTGCAAACAGCAGGGGCATACCTAGTATGTGGTTCATACAATTCATTAAAAAATTAACGCTGCTAGACTTATCAATGAGGCACACTAGCCTTGCAAGTGTGAGTTCCTCAGTTCAAACCCCTGTACTACCAAAAACCAAACAAAGAAACAAAAATCCCCAAAACAAAAAAGTAATGTATTTGTAGGAGAGGAAGAATGTAGGTAAGTAGAAAGAGAGAGTGGGAAGGCATCCTGGTGCAGATGTGTGTGTGTGTGTGTGTGTGTGTGTGTGTGTGTGCGCAATGTTCAAGAGAACATAAATACAGAGTCATTAGCACTTTCTTACTTAAGGAAGTTTTTTTTTCCAGTGCTAAGGATAAAACCCAGGGCCCTTCTCCCATACCAGACAAGTGCTCTACCACTGAGTTCTATTCCCAGCTCTCAAAGAACTTTGAAATCTAGAAGCTATTTATCCTGTTTGGAGTTTCCTAATCTATGCCTCGTTCCTCCATTTGGCATTTTTCTTCCTTACACAAATTTTCCTAGGAAAATAACACTTCTAATAATTGTTGGGGTTTGAATCCAGGGCCTCATGCTTGCTAGGCAGGTGCTCCCCCACTTGCACCACACTCCCAGCCCTGTTTTTTTTTTTAATTAGGAATTTTACTGTAAAATATATAGCCTCATATAGCCAATACTATGGGTAGGATTTAAACTGGTACTGTTTTTCTGTCATTGGTCTACGTGCTTCCTGGACAGGTACTTATACTCCAGAAAGTTGTTTGAAGCAAAGACACACATACATATATACTTATATATATGTATGTATGTATATATGTACATATATAATATATATTATAATTATAATGTCATATTGTTTATAAAAGTAAAAATTATTGAACACAGTAGAGACATTACTTACTAAGCTACGATACTATGATAACATGATATAAGGACATTTAAAGGCATTGGTATTGGTATAAATTCCTTTTCCCCTGAACAGTACGATGTTTGCAAAGTGGAACAGTCCTCTTACAGATGGACACTCCATGTTGTAAAACATTAACGTAGAAGTCAGTGATATGTTTGTGCAATGCCCATCTCTGTTTGCTAAGCCTTATAATCGTAACAGCACACAGAAAGGCAACAGTTCAATGGGCTGGATTGTATTTTCCAGTTTCTCTGAAATTTTAAATAGCTCAGAATGAGTGTTTGGTGAAACCACAAATTTTATAGTCTTTCTGGCTTGATGAGCTGTGTCAGAGAGGAAGGCAAGGCCATTTGATGCTTGGTGCTTTCTTCCTCATTGAGCAGCAGATTTGTGGAAACCTTGAGTGCTTACATCCTTCTGCCTGCACAGTCTTGGCCACCAGCAGACTATAAGCTCTTCAGGTCTGGAACTTTATGTTCTTGGCATGTTGTAAGCCTGGGACAAGGAAGTGGTACTTCTGAAATTCTGTTTGAACTCCATAGGTATGGCTTTTAAATGTGTACAATTTAATAAGTGGCAGGGACCCCAAGCTCAAATTGAATTCCCCATAAGATTCAGTTGCATCTGAAGTGCTTTGGACACTTTCAAAGCCCTGTTGTCAAGGAACATTTAGGAAACTCTGAGAGACTCATCCTGAGGGAAGAGACAAAGAGATACTTAAAATTTTGCTCATGGAAAATAATAGATCCTGAAGGTTGCAGCTGTCCTCCTTCTGACTGATGTCTAACTCAATCTTTTCAGTCATGACCTTGAATAAAAGTTGTCTTCCATAAGATCTTCATTTGACATGAAGAGTACTAAATGCCAGCGTGCTTGGTACTGGATCATGACAGCCTCATCAGCAACCTTGACACAGAGCCCTGGACTCCCTGGGGTGGCCACTGGTGGGCAGCCATGGCACTGGTAGCAGCACTGCAGGTTTGGTTATCAGCAGTAGCATCACCAGAGTGTGAAAGCAAATGAAAATGTGACAGGTGGAAAATGTCAGTGTCCACCTGTCCTTTAGTGCCCTTGATCACAGGGCAATGGATTGAGGAGTCTGTGGAACACGATAGGAATGAGTAAAGCTAAAGCCATAGAGATGTTATGTTTCACACTCTTTTGGATGATTAATCTTTTTGCCCCAAGAATAACCAACCACAACAGGTTGCATTTATTATTCTCTTTTGAAAATTCCATGATACAAAAGTGATTTTAAGTGTTAGATATTTTCAGATTCCTGGAAATTCTTTAACACAAGCAGTGATGACTAGTGAGATGCTTTTGAAGTCTCTAAAACCTAAGTTTTCCACGAAGTGTTTTTATATTTCTTTTGGAGGAGTTTATGTTGAGTTTAGATTCTTAATCTTATCCTACCAAAATCCAGGGTTGAGAGACAAATTATCTTCCATTACACTTGAGAATAATAGCTACAGCATGCAATGAGGTGTGGAAGAGGATTTTTTGTGCATTTTTATTTATTTAACAACTTCAGAAATAAAAATAATATTTTTGGTTATCCTATGTTTAAAGTCTTAGGTGGAATTTTATTTATTTTGTAGGACCTTTCAATTTGCCTGAGCTTGCCTTGAACCATGATCTTCCTGACCTCAGCCTCTCAAATAACTAGAACTACAGGTTTGAACTACTGGCACTGGGCTCACTGGTTATTTTTTAAGGTAGGGTCAAATTTTATGGGTGGGCTAGACTGGATCATGATCTTCCTGTGTGTGCTTCCCTTTGTAGCTGGGATGTCAGACATGTACTATCATGCTCAGCCATTGGTTGAGATGAAATCTTGTGAACTATTTGCCCAGGTTGGCCTCAAACCATGATCCTCCCGAACTCTGCCAACCAAGTAGCTAGGATTACAGGTGTGAGCCACCATGCCTAGCTTCTTGTCCACTTTTAAATAAAGTTGTTTATCTTCTTGTTCTTGAGTTTTGAGAGAGAGAGAGAGGACGAGAGATTGATTTATCATTGTAACTAAAGTTACCCACACTTAGGGCACTGTTCTCATTTCTTTACAGATATATTACTTACTTGATATACACAATAATTCCCAAAGTTGGTATTATATTATAAGGGGACATGAAGGTAAAAGAGACTGTAGAGCTTCTCCAATATCATACAGTTTGAAAATGGTAGACTTGGTTTCCAACCCAGGCTGGGTCCCTCCAGGGTCGGTGTTCTTAACCACCATATCACTTTGTCTATCAACACGTTTTTTTTAGTATAATTTCCACAAGAACATAAGTTTGAAGATAACTTTTTGTGACAATTTATCTGCTCTCTGACTAACAATTGGACTCAAGCAATAAATAATGTTCTTAATGTTCATTTAAGAACATTATTTAGATGTTTAGATTGATTAAAGATTTAGATAGCCAAAATTACAGTTTTAGAAAGATTAGAGCAAATTCTTTCTAGATGGATGACTTGTGATATTTCACAAGCGTGAACTTTATAGGCAATTACTTTGAGATTTCCTTCAACTCAATATTTCATAACTTTAATGAGTGAAAAATTAATACCAGATTGTTTCATGAGAATTTATCTTATTTTATGACCAACCATTTTTGTTTCCTCTATGCTAGTATTGGTAGTTACTTGTAGATATTAGCATTCTTCATATGAAGAACAGATTTATTATTCTTATTTAACCAGAGGAACATATAACTTCTTATCTCAATAAGGACAATTTGAGAGTGAAAGGGGGTCCTGTTGATAATTGTGTCAGGGCAAATACCGACAATCTGGGAACACAATCCTCAGTATTTAACCTACACATGGATGGAAACCAGGGCACTAATGATTCTGGGGATTGTGGTTGGTTTCTAAATTTTCTAAAAATTGAAAGAATTCACTGACAGACAAATGACATTTGTTCCTTTCTTAAGAAAAAAGATGGAGAATACCAACTGGATAACTTGAGTCCACTTATTGGAATTCTTGTTAAGAGCTTAGGCTTAGTTTTGCTTGATGCTTATTGTGTGTCTTAGTCAGTCTGGGAAGCTATAACAAAGGGACCTAGACTGGGTGTTTTAGAAACAATGAAATGAGTTTCCCACAGTCTTGGAGCTAGCAGTCCGTGATCACTGTTCAGCATGAGTAGGTCCTGGTAAGGACCTTCCTTTGGGGTATGTAGATTGTCCACTTATCCCTATCTTCAAAGGGCAGAAGAGGGTAGAACAGCTCTTCAGTGTCTCTTGTGTAAGGGCACTAATCCCATTCATGTAGACGCCACCATTATGACTTAATCACCCGCTAAAAGCCTCACTTCCTGTTATCATCACATTGGGATTTAGGATTTTGATACATGAGAAGAGTGTCATTACTTCAGCATGACAGGGTCAATGGTGTGGCCAGTGCCTTTGGCCATGAAGAGAGGTGAAGCGCAGCCAAGTTTTCCTAAAGATTGGTTAAATTTGCCTGTAAATGAAAATCTAGGGAGAGAAAGATGAGGGCATAGATGGACAGCTGCAGTTCTATCAACTTCCTAAGTGCACAGAACATTGATCATTCTGTTCAAAGGTGTGGAAGTATCTTATTTAAGGGTGTTACTGGTATACCCTTTGTCTTCTAGCATCCTAAATCTCAGCACAGGTTACTAGGGTTACTAGGTTACTGTAACCTTTCATTGTTGTTCACCTAGTAATGCAGTATTAAATTGTGAGAAGAGCAAAGAAGGTTTGGACACCAGTGTGAGAAAGGCTGAGACAAGTTATTTGAGCTCCCTGAGTCTCAATTTCCTTTTCAATAAAAGGAAAATACTGAGCTAAATAAAGCAAAGTTTCTCCCAGCTTTAATTTATGTAATTCTATAATCTACTGGAAGGATAGAGCTTGTTTTCCAACTTGTGTGACATCATGCCTAGATGGTTCATCTGCTGAATGAGGCAAATCCAAAATATTCCTGGATTCTTTTTAACCGGGGCAATAACTCTTTGTGCAGTGTACTTAATGATTCAAATATTTTTAAAGGCATATATCTGCACATATATTATGGAGGCCCTGAATCTGAAGTTTATAAGAAAGGACAATACAGAATGTATTGAGCAAATTAAAAAAGAATAGTTTGTTAATTTAAAATAGCTCAAGTTACTTCTCAAATATTTGAGTTGGCTTAGCCCTTTGTACTTAGAGATGAAAGAATTACACAGTGGTGAATCATACAGGCTTAAGAGTCATGCTGTGTGCAGTTCTAAGCTCCTACCATTTCCGTTTTCCATGTCATCTTGGGTAAGTTTATTAACTTCTCTAAATATCAGAATTCTTGTCTATGAAATGATGTCAAAGTACTCTTATGGAAAAAAAATGCATGTAAAGATCTCAAGAGTTTATCTCTCTGCTATTGTAGTCAGCCCCAAAAGTTTCAATGGGAAAAGTACTGGACTAATTGACTAATATTTATTAGCAGACTTAAACATATTAATTTAGTAAAAATCAATTTTCTCACTCACACAACAGCTCTGGAAGGGAAGTCAGGGGAGCAGAATATCAAATATGTTTTAGTCCGTAACTATAAAGTGGAAACCCATATTTTGTTACTGGCCTGTTGGGAATCAGTGAGAAATGCATATACCTTCTTGAAAACTTATGCACAATGACAGGACTTAAAAAGTGTTCTTTCAATATTACCCTTTGAGAGTCATGGGAATAAAGTAGATGTTTGTAATATTTATTGTTGTGGCCCTTAGTTGACACATAGGACTAATTACTAACCAGAGATTGTATAGACAGAAGGGAATCACCAATAAGGTGCATTATTGTCCCCATGTCATGCTCTGCTTTTGTTCTTCTTGGTTGATGACTTTGTGCCTGCTCTGTAAAGGATTGGTGATAATATTCACTATGTTTCTATGATCTTAGGAAGCCAGGGGCATATCCTAGAGCGGCAGCTATAAGCACTGCTGCCACATATTTACAGGGTATATCTGGAATCTTCCACTCTGGAAGAAAAGCCAATCTGGCTTTTCTGGATTAACTCTATAACCCAGCATTGTTAAGTGGCTCAGTATAGGAGACTTCTTCTCAAAGAATATTTGTAGGATACCAAAACGGAGTGGATGCTGTGTGTGTGAGTGTGTGTGTGTATGTGTGTGTGTGGAGAGAGGAGACGGGGGTGGGGAGGGAGAGAGAGAGAGAGATATGTGAACATAGTGAAATGGTGAAAGAGGCCTTCTCTGTGCCTCCAAACAATAATATTGTTCTACATCTTGGTTTTGAATAAAGACATTGGTATTGTGATGTCCGTTAAAAGGAGGGGGGACAAGCTGGGTGTGGAAGCAAACTCCTATAGTCCCAGCTACTTGGGACCTTAAGAGGTATTGGTAAATTTGCAACTTCGTCAGATCTGTTGAGAAATGAAGGTCATCAGCCACGGCTCATGTTGTGATCAGAGACAAATTATTCCGAAAAAGATCAATGATCCTCACAGAGGAGGACTGTGGGTAATGGCTACAATGAAGTCATCAGTGCTGAAGGCTAAAATATCAAGTTGGATTCAGAGTCTATGACTGAATCCTGGTTCTGATGCTTTCCTGCTACATTGCTATCTTTGGCAACTCTCTTCTGTGAGCCTCAGTGTTGTTCTAGTAACCTCAGTATCGTTGTTAATATCTACTGACAATATTTTTGTGATTTAATGTGGGTAAATAATGAATATGTAGAGGGCCCAGAAAATGCTTGTCCACACACACCTCACCACATTCCCCAGTTCTCTCAGAGTCCTATCAAGGGTGAGCTCTGGTCCTCAAAAGTGGTGTGGATATCAATGAAGGATAGAGGATGCACTGGAGTAGTGAGTGCTGGCTCAAAACCCTGCAGTTGACACTGCTTCCCTCAGATGACTCCGGTTGGAATGGAAGTCATCAGATTCATAGTGATGATTTCTCTACCTATGGTCCCATTATTTGAAACTCCTGAGAAAGAGGACATCTTTGAAGACAACGAAAACAGATCTTAGAGGTCCTCATTTATTTTTCAGTATTCTCTAGAAGATTTGAATGTCAAAATGGTTTGTGGATTAGTGCGTGTCTAGAAAATCTTTTACTCATTATTGAGATAGTAAAAAAATAAGAACCGTATAATTTCTTTCATCAGATGACTTCTTAATTCAATTTATTTAAAGAATTTTTTTCTTAATATTATATGTTTCTTAATTTTTTGTTTTAAGATACTTTTATATTAATGAAATGATGAAGATTGCTTAAATAATTACTGACCGGTGAAGTTGGAATGTCTAAGGGACTATTTTTTCTGACATTTTGGTCTCTACTGTCAAACATTCTTAAAAGGTCTACTGAACACTTTTTTACCCTTACCATATATCTCTCTTTACACATATCTCATTTTCTTTTGTTTCTTTTAGAAAATGAATTTTCTTAACCAGCAAGTAAAACTAATTTTATTATATATAAAATTCAAATTATTTTTTGTGTGTTTTTTCATTCTTTTGACATGTGAAAGTAAGCACACTAGGAAGTACACATAAGAGAATTAGATTCAAAACCAACAAAGATTTCAAACACAGATCCACAAGAGATCTTGTTTCTGTCTTATGTGGTAATAGAAGCCGAGTTTATTGTTGGGAATTTTTCTCTGGCTGTAGTGAAAGACATGGAATAGCCATAAGAAATTTATTAAATCAATTTAAATAATTTCTTGAGATTGACATT